CACATGATGAGAGTTACGAGATTGCCAAAACCTGTGGTCAAATCCCGATAAGTAGTATACCGTTACGGACATACACGGACGATCAAAGGTCATATACATGTTCTGTGCCTGGAAGTACCTTATACCGTGTGTTAGTTAGTGGCTACTGTAACGTGATGTCACTTTATGCCATAACTGGTGACCCTTTGAGACTATAAAGTACGGTTGGACCGGCGTTGACAGGAAGAGAGCGCAGCGCGTGAAATACTAGTATTGTTTAGCTGAATTGGTTCGTGCCGCTCACCGGTCACAATGAATCCGGAAAATTTGTCATAAATAATTTATCTTGCGTACAGAAAGTATAGAGGTGGTATTCTAAAAAATAACTCTGTATGCAGAACCTTTTACTATGTACTAACTGCTAACTTAAAAAAGACGAAGTAAAATTATTTAAAAAATTCACATTCTGATGGATTTTTGGATTTTTTTATTTACGTAAATTAGTAAAACTAACATTTAAAAAAAAAATCTTAGAGTCGCTAATTAACATATGCTTAACAAACAGGCCAAGAGTTTCAGAGCGAATCAGCATACAGACATACAATCGATCCCCTAGGCAAAGTTTCCTATTTTCCTTGAAGGTATCCGAAATAATAAGATTTGTTTGTTTATTATCTACAAAGTCCAGTTAAGTTACTGCTCAAAATATAAAGATCTTTTGTTATAAGTTGTGTCGTGACTGTCATTGTTACAATACCTTAGTTACGAGAAAGAACGGAAACAATCGAAGCTGACCTCTAAGGTGACTTTTAAGCTATTGAAATTCTCATAGCAATAACGATACTGATTAATATCAAATAAAATCAATTGGATTTGTATTATTCCAAAACTCAATCAGGCGAGAAGAATAATGCGTTACGCATTTTCCCTGGGTCAAAAAATGGTAAAGTATTTTTGTTTTGTAAATAAAATCTAGAGAATATTTTTTCTTGTGTGGGTTATGGATTAAGAGTTTATCGCATTGCCCACATTTTTGGCTGTACTGGGTTCTCTTATAAGAAATGCTATTCTGTCATAAGGCTTCGCTTCGCTGTAATAGAATTGAAATTCGATCAAATAAAAACTATTTCGAATTGTAATAAAAGTTTTATTATCTTTCGAAATATCTTCACAGTTCTGCGTTCGGGGCTGTTTTATAACATAATAGTAGTATATTTAAATTTAATTGGCAGAACCTTCTTATAAAGTCGATAAAATTACGGATGTATGTACTTATGCGACAAAGTTCATATAGGCACATGGTGTACCTAATTCACAATGGCTCGTTATGGTCCAGTCGTCAGGTCATGTCTGCGCGTCCGTCGTACTGTTACTGTTTTACATTACAACCACATACTCTGCGTCACTTCACATAATACCTACCCATCAAAAACATAACATATACCAAAATGCACAAGTCTCACAAACCAAATCTTCTGCCGTAAAAAGTTATGAAATCAACGTAAGCCAAGTGGATTAATTAAGTATCTATCTTTTTGTGAGAGCAGTTATCCAACCTTGTCATAGACTAAGAAATATTTGGCAAACGCATAGATATGGTAAAATAATGTCCCATATTACTAATTTGTAAACGAATTTAATCGAATTTTGGAATGAAGCGTATAAAAAATGGTGATGGCAGTAATAGTAGGTACTTAGATTTTATAGATATTTTTTTATTAGATATTTTTTTATCTTACCCTTTCCAAATTTGAAAATATAGTAGACCTACGCATGTGTTGTTCTGTAAGATATTGTGCATACAATTATTATAGAGGTTGTATAATTATCATAGAACTTGGTGTTAGTCTTAAACTAGACCTTCTATGATATATTTTGGCTTCGACATTTTACAAATATTGCGACAGATTTGTTACACCGAAATGTAATTTTGATTCACAGTTGGCTGATGATGTACCTGATATAATTCTATATCCTCATTTGGAGGTAGTTATCGTTGAAGGCCGTTACTTGTATTATGAGCTTGATATTCGATTGTATGTGAATAACTAAAACGTAATTCATATTGGATTCATGTATGATTTTACATATTTATTATATTAAATTTGTATATACACTGAAGCTGCGTAAGACCTAATGATAATTATCTATTTAAATATTTCATCATCAGCATCAGCCTATAAATTGTATCAGTGTTTAGGTAGAAACCTTTTCCCTTGCAAAAAGACCGTTTTTTTATAACAATTGCTACGACAAACTACAATAACGGGAGCTAAGTATGAACTGATAAGACCATTGATGCGTAGGATCGACAGCTTAATGTGCCCTACTGATGCACGCAGGAAATATAGATATTAATTTTCTGATCATCTATGATTGTAATTGCAACATGATTGTTAATGCATAATGCAATGCACGATCGCTTCTCTAGAAGCCTTCTCTTCCGCCCCGGGCCTCTTACCCTGGGGGCCTCCAAATGGCTGAAAATTCCCTTGATCGAATCATAAATTGGGGTTATACTGCTTTACTATAGTTTCGTAATTTTAGCAGGCGTCTTAGCAGGGGAGGCGGTGTAAACACAAAATCAAGTTTCTGCACCAGTTGTAAAGAGTTGTAGGTCCGCCACTGGCCGGCACTATATACTACGGATGTATTAAAATTAAAGGTCTTTCGTTTACTTGTTCCAAGATCACATAAATGAACTCACCTAATAAATCTAGCTTTTATTTTAACATAACATTAGAGAAATTGAAAATCTTCACAACTATGTAGATACTATAATTTGACGTAGGTATTAATAGATTTTTGAAGAACACGACTTCGGGAAATAGTGCAAAAGTATCCGTTTCTAACGCCAAAATAGTCGAACTGTTGGTCTAACCTAACAAAAGATCCAAACAACTTTCGAACATTGTAATTGGCGCAAACTTGCACTGTCATCTCTCTAATTTGCTATGGCTGCATTGCCGCTCTACTTTTTCACGATCAAGATGACGTTGTAAACTAATATGATAATTATCCAAAAAAAGTGAAAATGTCAATTATTTGGTTATAGTTCTCAAGTTAAGGGAAAGACAAATAATTATCGAATGCGTACAAATAAAATCATGTTATAAATAAATATAGTTCGTTCATAGAAAGCGACTGAGAGCCTATGAGTTTGTGATTAAAGGAGCCTTAGCAGATTCGATTTGAATCACACGTGAAGCGTTTTATTCACGTTATGTAATTTTGCAATAATTTACATTCATAATTTAAATTTACAAATAATTTTATTTTTACATAGTTTTTAAAGACATTACTTATACGAATTAAAACTTCTATGGTTGAAACTTTTCATAGTATGTAGGCACACGGTCGCACGTAAAGTAACCACAATGTTAAATTTCCCCAATTGATTTTGAACTCTACCAACAATGTTTTAAGTTTCAAAACCCTTGATGCATTGTTGGTAGCCTTGTATAGTACCGATTTCATCATTATGGATTATTAGAGGTTTCGAGTTCGATTTCCACCGGGTCAATGAAGCAAACGAATTTTATGTTTTTTCCATCCCTTTTTTAAGATTGCCTTAGGGATCGGAGTCACAAACAGTCAGGGAGAGTTAAATCAAATCTCGTTGACTTCTACTAGAAGTTGCAAATTGTACTTACCTACTAGCAATCTCGATGCGAACTGTGCGAGGGTGCCGTAGGGTATACGGGTTAGATTGGCGGTGTATGGCATGATCTCGTTTCGCCGTATCTGATTCCTGTTTATAAAATAAGTTCTAGAGTAGGACGTGAAGATATCTAATATTTAATCTACATGATCGAACGAATAGTTTTAAGATAGTATTTTAAAGCGACCCTATTACCAAATTTAAAAGGCCTAGTTTATTTAAATCTCTTATATTTTTATATGTTTAGGTACTTATGATACTTTTGTCTCGTTAAATGTTCTCTGTAACTGTAACATATGCAATTAGTACAGATAAATAAAACCGCTACAGCTAAAAGCTGGCATGTAAAAATACGTTTTTTTTTGTTTTAAAACTTTTAAATATTCCTATATCTAAAGGAATTCGCGGTTTTATTTAACTAAATCGTGTCAATCGTAAGCGACCGCAATTAAGATTTAAGTAAAGATAATTTCTTTCAATAAGGCAAGTTTTATTTGGTCATGCACTCAAAAAGTTTATTTGTTACATTTTTCATTCCATTTATATCAAATAGAACTTTTTACTGTTCATTGAAGAATTATACTTAAAAACTAAACTAGCTTTAGATACATATCATGAAAGCAGCGCCGGCACAATGAAACTTGGTGCCCCAGGTAAAACACTGGTACTTGGAGCCCCAGGCAAAATACTGGTACTTAGTGCCACAGGCAAAACACTGGTACTTGGTGCCACAAGCAAAACACTGGTACTTGGAGCCCCAGGCAAAACACTGGTACTTGGTGCCACAGGCAAAACACTGGAACGACGCCTATAAATAATTGCAACTAAATGAAACACTAATTTAGTCTGATAATTTCGTCCTTTTATATGACATGGACACATGTCTAAAGAACAAAAGTCATTTTTTAAGGTAGTTACTGGATTTTTAAGGTACTAATTATTTAAGCAAACATAATCTATTTGTCATGCCATGCCGTACCCCAAATACGAGCACCCTAAGCAGATGCCTAGTTTGCCTATCGGGACGGGCCGGCCTTGCAAGAAAGTTATAAAATAGCCAATGAACTGAGTCAAGAAGTCATTAGGTTAATGGCACGTTCGGATCACTGGTTTACTCATGGAAGCAAATCGTGGTGTCGTAGAAACGTCCATTAATAAAATGTAATATGTGAAGGAATCAATTGATATGGAACCATACAACAAAAAATTGTCATTTTTATATATTTTTTTGCATGAAAGTATATGTATTATGTAAATGTATTATTTTTAATTCATCGTGAATAGACACTGAGAGACACTGCTTTAACCAAGTTTTTATTAAAAATATTTATCATAGCTTCTTAATCTATTTTTTTTTCAGAAGTATTACACTTAATCGGTGAACCAGACTTTCGTGATGTCCGCCTTCGCTGGGAGTACGGCAAGATCGATGATGACAAGAGTCCGAAGCTGCTGGCGTTTCAAGTGCATTACTGCGAGCTTCAGGCATGGGGGCAGTATCGTTGCAGAACAAAGGTATTATATGAAAACTTTTTGGTTAATAAAAGATAAAAGCACTGAATAAAGCTGATCTGACGATGTCGTGTTGTGTTGATGTTCTTATAGCAATTATCTGAGTTACAAGAAGAGTACGTGCAGTAAGTTGCCTTTATAGTGTTTAAACCCATTTAATTCTCAGATCAAGATAAACATTTCCTTCCGAAGAACAAACAACGTACCGGTGTATAATACGCAGTAATTATTTTTAGAGTGGATGTAATTAGTTGATAAGCAATGCGTACCGTGCGTTTGTTTCCGGGGTTTTATTAAGCTTAAAGAAATATAAATACTGGCATATAGATTTATATTTTTTATCTATATAAATAAAAATGTATCGCCGAAATGTATGTACGCGCATAACTTCCAAACGACTTCACCAAATTGGATAATTATTCTTTTTATCTTTTCCTTATTGTCAGGACAAGGTTTGTATATGAGAAAATTTATAAAAAAGTAATAATATATCTATAGATTTTATCAGAATTAATTTATACGGTAGATCTTTGACGAAACCATCGACGTTTGCCAGATTGTTAGTATTTAATATGGCAATATTAATTAAATATGAAGTTCGCCGGGTCAGCTAGTTATTTATTGAATAGCGCAAGTCAGATGGCCAAGCAGCAGTTCTTCAAAAATAGAAGATACCTTTTGCAAGTAAAGCGAAGTCATGGTCAAATTTTCATGTCTTCATGTCTTCAGAATCAGATATTCTTTAATCTTTACCAGTCAACTGGAGAACTAGGTAGGTATATAAGATGCGAGGCAGCGCGTAGAATAAATAGAGAAAAAGTTATAATAAATCAAATAATTAATTGAGTTCATTATAACGTGTCTCAGACAGACTTTAACTGTATTTTTCTGGATAAGTATACCTAAAGTGAAATTGAGTAATTGTTGGTTCTCAGGTGATTGATGATTTAGAAGAGGACAAGTCTAGGTCGTTTGAAATAACTAGTACAGTAGCGCCGGCGCCGTCGCAGGCGGGTGGTAGGCAGCGAGCTCGCACGTATACCGCGCGCATCATGGGCCTGCGTATGGCCACTACGTACTCCTTCGAGGTGCGTCCTCTACGACGGGACGCACGGGATCTAGCGGACCCACAATCTATTGGATCGAAAATCATAATAGTGCCCACTAAGGGATGTAAGTATTATGAAAACTGGGTCAATCTTAAGTTTAACATTAAAATGTAAAAGGTTCTTAGCACACACATCCAAAAATCGCCCAAATGTGAGACGAACTCATAAACGACCATGGACTTACCTACGTTTTGAACGATTTTTAATTTGATAATTTTTACATATTAATATTGATTAAAAACTAAATTAAACACGAACTACATTCAGGTGCACATATCTATGTATATTTAATAGAGATAACCAAGATTTGTCCCTCGGAGATTTGAAAACAACCTTTCCGGGGTTTCTTTTTAAGGCTAGTCAGTCGTAGCGTTTTTATAAACAGCCTAAAGATCTCAATAGAGCATGAAAATGAGGTTACAACTAGTCAATTAGTTGTAGGCATGCCCAAAGTGCCTACAACAACGGATCCGCGCCGATTACGTACCTATCTACTTTAAAAATATGACTTTCATCCCCTCATCTCGGAAAGACATTTGGTCTCGATATCTGAGCACTAAAACCGTTTTATCCACAAATAAATCGAATTTAGAATATCATATGCACTAAGTTCATGAATACAAAACCTCATTAAACCTATTTACTTCTACCTCCATGGTGCCGAATTTATCAAACAACCTTTTTTAATTTGTTAAAAACTCAGACTCGAAACCTTTTCGGAGCACTTTTTTTTTATTAGCGCGCGCCATTTTATTCTAACGTCTTATTTTTAAAACAAGTGAAAAATCGAAGATGAGCTATTCTAGCTCTAGTTTATTTGACGCCAACAGAATCGAGTGAAACTATAATGTAGTAGTTAATACCACAAAGTACTTTATTATATAGGTTAATACCTAAACATGCTAAACTGAAATAAAAGTATAATGTGATTGTAAATGTTTTCTTTGCATTTAGGCATTTACTCGTTGAGGTGGGATGAAAAGTTACAAGTTGCACTCGAGATCAAAGATTTTTCACTTTGTGCTCTTTTGATTCCCTCGCTGACTCTCAGGATTTTAGAAAATACTTCGCTTGTTCGGTCATGAACAGGCGGTTAAAACGCAACTTTGCACTCTTGTTTAAAAAATAATTATATATTATATTTGATAAATTTTGCATTCACAATGCTATACTGAAAAATATTCTTAATGAAAAATCCCACAAGGTGGGTTTTTAAGCATTATTCATTAAGAAATAACTAATTATTTTCAGTCTCGGCACGTGCTACACAATGTTTACCGCACGCCAGCGAAGTGGAGGTATCAACGGGTCCTAATTTCGGTGGTCGTATAGCGGTGGAGGCGGCGGACGGCGGGCCGGAACGGTGCTCGCTGCAGGGGAACCCGAACAGTGCACAGGACGCGTACACGCTCCGGATACACCACGAGGAGTGCGGCTCACAAGTCAATGATACTACAGTCGCCACATACGTTATAGTACAGGAGAACTTGCCGATACTCACGCATAGCACTCGACGGTGAGTAGGGTAGAAGACCCAGTTTTGTACACTGCCCCTTTCTGGCCATTTGAAACTTCAAAGCTTTCTATCTAACGCATAGGCAAATATATTATTTTAACGTTAACGGTTTTCAAAATGTATCATTATAGCAAAACTAACAGCTATGATGTGTCAAAGTTAACTTCCTAGTAACTCTTAAAAATGGTCAAAATGGGTCATAATTTTAAAATGGCTAAAACCGGGTCATCTGCCCTATATCAATAAAAGTTTCCTCTTTCGTTCATTCAACGGTCTTCGTCTTAATCGTCAGCCATTTTACGTCTCCACTGCAGTGGCTCAGGCCTTCAAGGATGGGCCATGACCCTCAGCCCAATCGGGATTGGAGGTTATCAACAACTGTAAATGCAGCCGGGATCAACGGCTTAGTGTGCCTTCCGAAGCATGGAGTAGCTCGAGATCATAATTTCTTGGTCACCCATCCCGTGACCGACCCTTGTAAAAGCTGCTTATTTTTACAAGGTTGCGGCGCTTATCCACTACGCCACCAGAGCTGCTTCTTACTATGCCAAAAGACCTGACTGAATTTTTAGCATATCTTTTAGCCATACGCTATGGAAATTCGGCTGTGGAAATCTCTATCTGATACTCAGTAAGATAAGCTTAGTCACTAGACATGTACTAGACCAGAAAATACTCTTTGGTCCTACGGACACGAACCCATGCCCGCGGTATTAAAAGTACAAAATTTTGAGACTATCAGTGACTAATGATTTTCTTTTGTAATTTGCAAAATTAATATTCTTTATTAGGTTTACTGTTTTGCTGTGATTTTTTTATAAGCGTCGTTCCAATGTCCGGCGCTGATAATACCTACTGTAGACCTTTATCACTGTCACTGGTAGAAATGGCTTAAGTCATAAGATGGTAATAAGTGCCGTAATCTATTATGGAGCTGCTTTCCCTCGACTCGCCCGCATAAATAAATAAATATTCAACAACATCACATACATAGCGTAACTAAAGCCCCCCTATTATGGTGTATCTGAGACAACGAAGATACCACAACACCCAGACCCGAGACAATATAGAAAAGTTCATTTTCTACATTGAAGAATCGAACCCGGGACCTCAGAAATGGCGTACGTATTTACGTAATTAAGTATAACCTATGTTACCCACGTGTGACGTAACTTCCCGTAGGTGGTAGAATTTTTAAAATCGGTCCAGTAGTTTCGGAGCCTATTGAATGCAAACAAACAGAATGAAATGTTTCCTTTATATAATATTAGTATAGAAGTCAATTTAAGATTTTTTTTCTGTTTTTAATGTAAAATATAGACTACGTTGACTTAAAAAAATCTCTTTTTAGGTTTTTAGTTTTATGCACGTATAAACCGGAAACGCTGACAGTAAGAGCGGGCATCAATCTGCCCAAAGCTAACCCGGGTGATGTGTTACATAATATGAAGCCTGTCGGTTCCGTGGAGCCGTACGACAATGAGGATCTTGACTACAACGAATTGCAACCGGCTAGATTAGAAGCGCGCAAAGAAGAAACACAACAGAGTTTGTATAAATATTACACGTATAAATTAATATGACACCTGAAGGCCTATTCTATTTCACCAAAAACTTAACTTGGTCTATTAACGAAACGCTAATACGAATTCAAAAACTACAAAACATATTTCGATATTTTTTGATGAAACGAAGTATGGATCTGATACTGCCTCTGATGCATAGATAAATCATCACGGATATGATTCATTTTCGTTAGGTCGAATAGAATAGTCCGTTAATTGTCATGTTAATGGGGTATTCTACTCTGTTTGATATAATACTTGTAATGTTAATTTTAATTTAAAAAGGCCATAAAACAAATATTTTAGAAAAATAAACACGTTTTCTTGTTTTTAAATTAAATTAAATTTAAAAAAATATATACATGCAAAAACGCTGTTCGTCGTATTCATGACGTCATTCTGATAATGTACACAAAACAGATGCATAAAGTAGAAGATATCAATAAAACAAGAGCATGTCATCTAACTATGGATACGAAATAAAAAGATGTAAATAAGCTAAGAACATCGCCATCTAGTGATTTTATTTATAATTAGTATATCTTTATGATTAATCTGGTAGCTGTCGCCACAGTGACGTCATACAACGGCGCGTCGTGTTTGAAATCACGAGACACCCAGACAAAATACTTAAAATTTTTAGATAATAAGAAAATCGTGCGATTTCAAAATCAGAATATCTATTTTTATTACAATGTAAATTTTAGGTTTTGTGTAATTCAAGACTTATTTTTCACTCCCGAAACTTGCCTATTCGTACGAGTTTACTAGTTATTTATCCCCCAATTCGCTCTCGGAATATAGAGCCTATGTTATAGCTATGTCACCCACGTACCCGCTTCCCGTAGGTGAAAGAATTTAAATAATCGGTTCAGTAGTTTCGAAGCTAATTCAATGCAAACAACAAACAAGAAAATATTTGCTGTATAAAATATTAGTTATTATACATACTTACACTTGTTTCTTATATATTATTAGTATAGATATACTTGGTATGTGTTTTCACACAGTCTCCATTAAATAAAACTACATTTAAAATAATGGTTGTATAAAAATATATTTATATAAGATTTCATCATTATAAATGCAAGTCTACATTACTGAGATTATACGAGTATATGAGGTTTTTCATTACCATATGATAATGTTGAAAAATTTTCAGGTGTTTTTGGCGAAATAATGTTGGTGATGTTCTTGGTGGTGGCTGCATTCGGTGGGATAGCACTGTTGATATGGAAGATGGTGCCACAAGCTGAAAAGGATAATATCTCCATAGCGACCATGTCGTCTCTGTCGCGCAGCAGCATTTTCAGTAGGCGGAACAGAGATAGATTCTCCGACCAAAGTTCTGTTTATTCTATAACACTTTCGGAGAAAGACGACTCTGTTAAGAAACCAAACGATGGAGATAATACTTCGGAAGCGTGAATGTTTTTTTTATTACAAACACTGCGAAGTATTTGCCTAATGTTATGGTTCACAACCTTGGTGCACGATAATGCACGTTCGGTCACGTGGCTTAAAAATCAAGTCTATGATTGGTGTTAGCTGATTTTTTAAAGCTTATTGAAGAGGTACAGTCGACACTACGTCAGGATATCCGCAACTGTCACATTTCTCCACATGATTAACCTTAATGCATTGTAGGTAGAGTTGAAAATCGATTGAGGAAATTTGACATATTCTGGTAGCCTGACGTGCATTCGTGTGAACAAAATATGTATGTACCTCGATCTCTGCGTTTAGAATTTACAATATATTAAGAGTTTCAAATAAAATCATGTGGCCAGTACTTTTTTGCACTTAACACAATTTAATATGCTAATGATTGCCATACAAAATGTAGCAGGTGATTAGATAAGTGAGATGATAGTTATAAAATATGTACAAATACAATATGCCCGAATTGCGAAAGGTTCGATTCCAATCTCAGGGTGCCAAGGACCAAGTGGATTTTTACGCATGTTTCATTAAGAACATCATGCTTAATTACCAAACAACATAATATATGCTAGATTCGTGTTATGTCTGTACAGTGGCGTAACTACAGGGTGGCAAGTCGGCAAAATGCCACGGGCCTCCAGCTGAAAGGGGCCCCCGGGGCCCGATCAGTGGAAACTCCTGACATTTATTATTATACAATTAGTAAAAAAAAATTAAGAATATCCGATGAATTTGCCACGGGCCTCAAACAGTATAGTTACGCCACTATGTACATGTTTTATAAGTATCATTTATATATTTTTAATTATAATTACAACGTTTTTAAGAGTGATTAAAAAGATAAAAGAAACTTACGCATATTTTATTTAAATATCTCATTTGGTTTGTCCAAAACAAATATTTGTTTTTCCAATTTTACTTCGGGAAATACAAATTGATTAACTGTGTCGTTTAATTCTTCTAGAGCTACTTGAGAATGGAGTCTTAACACTGAATCTTCATTATTATCATTGTATATTTTCTTCAAACCTCTATAAATTGGAAGTAAATTTTCTTTTAACTGAATCAATACTTTTTTACCCAGGCCTTTTATTAAACTTGATATAATTAGAACAGCCGCTCTTCTGCATTCTATAGCTTTATCAGTTTCTAAAATGCTCCAAACACAATGAAGAACCTGAAAAGTAAAAATAGATTATATAATCTGCACACAGCTAGAAATCTCTTAATAAATACTATATTGACTGTGTTTACCTAGCAAAGTTATTTTATTTAAATTAAAAAAAAAAAAAAACTACACCCATTAAAGGTTTGTGTAAAAGGTTGCCCATCATGCGTCTCACGCAAGTATGCGTAAGTACGCCACGGATTATCCGTCGAGTGTGCATTTGTGCAAGGTTGAATGTCATCAGTGGCGGACTAAGGGGGCAGGCGGAAGGGAGCGGCCCTCCCCGGGTTTCAGGTCCTGGGAGCCACCAAATGGACTGCAGCCATCCGCCAAAATCATAATTATATATTAAAAAAAAAAGTTAAAATGTATGAGCGGGGGAGAGGGGTAAACGCAATATAATGTTTGTGTTTGAAAAATTTCGTTCTGGCTTTGAAACTGATTGTCGATCCAGGCCTAAATGAAGGAAAAATGTCCATTATAACATCTAAGAGATTGACAGACAATACTGGCTTCAACATTGATTTCTCATCTCAGCTAAGATAGTGCTGTTGTGAACCATAATAGTAGAAAATTTGGTCCATTTGCTGTAAGAGGCTTTGCTAGGCCTTGTTGAAAACTAAGATTATATAAATATAGACAGCATTAAGTATTTACCTCATAAATAATTGTACCCATTTTGTAATGTAAAACTAGACATATTTCAGCTAAATTTGATAAAGCTGAAGCTCTTATAAGTGGATCCTCATCTCTGCACCCGCATAACATAGTATTTAGAAGGATTGTTTTATGGACAATAGCCATTTCACCTGAAAAATATTGATTAACAAAATTCTAAATAAATTCAGATAATTAGTTAATAGAGGGTTTTTATTAAATATGATAAACAATAAATAAGGAGAAGTAAGGAATTTCTAGAAACACATTTACGTAATTTGTGGATTCCATTCCCTCTTATTCCCTTTGCATTAAGAGTGATTATATGTCAAAATTGATTATATATTTTTGCATCTATTGCTGAGTACAAAATCTAATGTATTTTAAACACAGCTTTCCTCATCAGGTATGCAAAGTGTGAAATATCACATTTACTGTATATTTTTAATTCCATATTATCTTGTATCTTTTCTGATAAATTGAGACTACCAATTTGATGAAATATGCCCACATCTATGTACAGAAATTTGTTGTGTTAGCCGTGTTATAATTATAGGTAAAGCCCAAACAATATTAATCATAATAAAGAGTAAGTATTAAAATTTTATTCTTACCAAGTTTCTTTGTAACCTTTACAATGACATCTCCAATTTTCATTCTTAACTGTGAAACTTTATTTTCTCCATCTACAGTGTGGATGTCCCCTAAATCACTGGTCACTTGTAAAAATTCTTTACACAGCACATGTAACACATCATCAGTACAATGGGTACCAAGTGCAGCAATACCATTTATTGCAGCCAAATAAATATATGAATCTGGATCTTTGAGTTGCTCCTTAAAATACAAATATAACAGGTAATAAAAAAATATGTTTGGATTTCAATAGATATTGGTGCTTAAAAAAAAATGTTTACCTGGAATAGACAAAACACATAATGCTTCTTTGATAGTGTCTCTGTATCTTTAGTCTCAATAAGTTTAGTTAATTCTATCAATCCATGAGCTCTTACTGGTAACAAATTGTCAAAAGCATCTGCCAAGGCTTTCACATATTTTGTTTCTACTTGCACATGCCCAGAAGTAATAAAATTCAATGCTTCTTTGCATAACAAACTAACCATTGAATTATCATCTTTAGACATTGATTTCAATACTGGGATTAACTTTATAAAATGTTTCTCAATTTCATTAATGTTTTTTGAATTTGACAAAATTGTATTCAATAACACCAAGGCTAGTGTTAAACACTCATCATCACAATTTTTCTGTTTTAATATATAATATTCAATAAAATTTATGACTGATGAAGGATTATGTTTGAGGATTGAGATTATTTTTGGTGATGCAGATAATTCAGAAAGTAGTTGTAATATGATGATATACTGCTCATCAAAATTATTAAATAGAACAAGATTATCTCCAGCTAGTAAAGTTTCATTAGATTTTAAACTGTTTCTTTGTTCATTGAACTCAATAAGCATCTCTAAGGAGGTATCAAATGTATATTCTATAAACTGGGTTTCTGTTGATGATTGTAATAAAGATAAAAAATATGCCAGAGCTTCTTCTTTACTATATGTCACAGGAGATGAAACATACTTAATTATCAATCCAGAAACATATTCTTCGACTTGGAGACTGTGCCGTGAATAATCTTTTCCAAATAAAATATCTTTGATTAAAATTGCAATTTCTTGCTTCTGTAATTGACACAAACATTTCAAGAGAATATCCTTAAGTTTTAATTGCATACCTTCATTTTTTGTGGATTTGACACCAAGGATAAACAAAAGATACAAGTTGGGCAATAACAATGAATAAGAACAATCTAGGTTAGTAATGTTTGAACAGGTATTTAAAATGTTTACTTTCTGTTCAATTTCTTGGGTAGTGACAACTATAGTTCCAGGTAAATTTGAACTAGATATAAGACAGTCATAATCAAAAGCTTGAAATATATTCTTCATGAGTGATTTTACTGGTTCCATATGGGAATATTTTACATTTAAACTTAGAATGCATGCAATAGCTGTTGATAAATAATGTGTATTGTTCAAAGATAATAACTGAGCAATCTGAGAACAAATTATATTCAAATATGCTGTTTCTGTATCATTGCCATGTTTTGTTGTAACAATTTTGCAAATCATTTCAATTTTTTTCCAATCATGTCCTGTATCTGTATTGTAGCTGTCCATAAAACATCTTATTAAACTCAATAATCCACCAGGCGCCAGGAGTCTCCTGCTCAATTCTTTGGTAATAGCTCTTTTAACAAACATTGGAGGTGATGGATCATTAACACTTTGTAATACCAATAATTCTTTCATAAGAGTGGGTTGAAAGCAATTGATAACTAGATATTCATATATTCCTTTATACTTCACTCTATCTTTTGTGAATCTTTCATACATTTCTAGAGTCATAGTGAAGTCAGTATATATCCCTGGTTTCTTGAGAGGAGCAAAACAAAGTTGAATTAATGCAGCCAGATAGTCAGACAAATGTAGTGTAATGATAATTTTTTTCAGTACAGGGATATCATAGCTTCTAGATAAAAATTCTGTACATTCAACTAGCATATCATATTTTTGTATGTCTGAAAAATCCACTGAAATTAATTTATTCGCAGACAGACATCTTTTTGAAAGTTTAATACCTAATCCTGGGAGTAAACATTGTGATATGCCTAGTGATACAATAATTTGATAGCATTTCTGCAAAAGTTTCTGATTTTTAACACTAATTAAAATATTGTCATTGTTTTTTATAACTGTTATTAAATCATCTATTTCCTTGATAATATTCCTTAGAAATAGTACTTGTAGTTTGTAAACATTTAAAGGCATTTCATTATCAGTTAATATTCCATTTTCAGAATTAGAGTTGAGAAATAATGGTTCTAAAAATTTTTGCTGACCTTCTGAAAGATAAGAATATAATTTATTATAGTGCACACTTAGTTAAAATAATATATACAAAATGGATAATATTCTTAATAAAAATTAGTTAAAAAATCCACTTTGTTCCTGGTACTCTGAGATGGGATTCAAACCAATACCCATTGTTTTGATCAACAAAATTGGTCAAATATTATATTAGAACAAATTTTTTATCTATATCAAAAGTTTTAAATATTTGCATAAATATTTCTTTCAGCTGTTTGGGTGCATTACCTGAACATTGATGAATATACGTTCTGTAGTAGTGAAAAAGTAACAAGTGCTTGAAATATTTGTCAGTCCTTTGAGTCCTAGGTAGCTGTGGTTAGAGCAGTCGTCCGGATTGCGAAAAGTCCCATCTCAGAGTGCCAGGGACAAAGTGGATTTTTTAAGCATTTTTCATTAAGAATATATACCGAAATCTTATTATCTTAAATGTCCTGGAGTAGACAAAGAAAACTTCAAGAAAACTAAGGTGGTTGGTAAGACTAGGCTACCTTCTCGTGTTAAGTTTTCAATATTTACAAATATATGATCCATTTTTTATTCAATGATGTAATTCAATTAAGTTTCTTTTGTTTGTAGGAGTCTTATATGATTTAGCCAGCAATGTTACTTGTTTTTAATGAGGAAGTATTTAAAAAAAATAAAGAAACTACAAAAAATTATGTTACTAGATGGCAGCACAAATTGTTGGATCTAAACGTCAATTCATGACGTTAAACCAAAGAGAATAGATTTGTTAGTGTTGTTATGGATCTGATAACTTGGATTAATATCAAGTTGAAATTTAACTAGTTCGAGTTATGCAATCGCAACTCGATTAATACAAAGTAATCTTTGAATAAATTTATTTTTTATTTGTATAGAGGAAAATGGAAACTAACATAATGGAAGTGAGCACAGAGGCTTTTTAAATTTATGGAAATCAATTGAATGCTGTGATATAATTAAAAGTGGCATCTAACTACGGAATACAATAATATTACGTTTATAAATAAAATAGGTATTTATGTCATAGTAGGTCTAGGAATTTTCATTTTAGTATTTAACAAAAGTTCTGAAAAAATAACAACTAGGTAAGTTAGTTTTATTGCTATTAGTTGTTTGTTGAACTTACAACAACAAAACTACATCAATTCTCAATATTTTTTTTATATTATGTATGGTGAATGAATGAATAGGGTTTATTAATCAGCAACAAAAGTCATAAAAACAATAATTTTTAAGAAAAATCCGTTTATTATCTATAAACTTACCCGATATGTATCAAATATACTATATATTCGTACAAAATAACATAACTGCTGGCTAAAATGACGTTTGTGCAAAGTGTAACGTGCAAATAACTTGTGCTTTCGAAATTAAGACTTTATAAAACTATTATCAGTTATTAAATCTTATATTCATAATTAAATCATCTTAATAAACATTCAGCAATTAACAAGAAACGTCTGCTCTAAACGAACAGCAAGGTTGTAACTTTAAATTTCAAATGTCAAAGACAAGTACAGTTATTATATTGCTACTGATCTTGCATGTCGACGGCGGACGTCGAGCCATGTGTTAAGTTAATTCGTACGGCGGGTTTGTTCTTTTTGGTTCTTACAATAATATTGTTAATAATAATTTGAATTCCAACACAACCTACTCTAGAAATCCGTTTTATTGAAATATATTATTTACTAAGTACCTAGAGTTGTTATGGTCTCTTAAAATCTCTGCGGTGGTATCGTGTGCGTTAGGTGGTTACGATCCCTCAAATATAGTACAGTTGAGTTTTTTAGTTGAAATTAAAAGTCAGTAAGAGATCTCCCGCCTTAGTTTTGCGAACCATTGGTAAAGTTTTCGACTTTCACAAGTACTATGTTACAGTCTAGATTGAATTGATTTTGATATTTATATTAATATCATTCGTTTTGTGGATGCATAATGACACTTCATTTTCATCATCATTTTTGTTCTCCATTCCAAACCTGAATTCGACGAAAGTTACGAGCAACCAATAAGTTGGCTCATCACTAATGTTGACGTATCAACAAAACATCGTTCCTTTACACGTAACATAATAAACAACTTAAACTTACAATTAAAATAAATTAAAATTAGTTTGAAAGTGAGACATTATAAGAAACACAAAACGATGTCATATTTATTAATCGAAAATACTCAATTTACATTTATTACGTCAGAAATAAAATTTGAATGAATATCATAAACAAAATCCAAAACTCGCGAGTGTCATCTAGTATGATTTCAAGAACTAATTTTTATTTTTTAAATACTTCCTCATTATAAAATAATAAAATATTGAATTTTGGGGTAATAGATATAACAATAAAAAAGGCTCATCTGATTACATTGTTAAAGATAATACAAATAGAATATACATATATATAAAGTAAAAATATATTTATAAATTAAGACTATTTGACTATTGACTATTGATTGCTAGGAATTTACATAAAATTTTGAATGGGCTGGGTTTTTCCATACTTAAGATACATTTTATATTTGTTGGATGAGGAACTTTTGATGGGAGCAAATCATTATTCTAAAAGACTAATAAGAGAACTAGTTTTGATGTTTATATAGTTTTATTTTTTATTTTAAATAGGTGATCGATATACATGAAGAGAATGCATCGACATCGATATTATGCGACAAAATAATATGATGTTGCCGGTCGTCCTATTAGAATGGATGTATATATTGACATGGACGATAACTGAATCATAGAATATCATCGGACTGATAGTTTAATACAATCACTAATAGATGCTTCCACACTGTGTCGTTTATAGTCGTCGACAGATAAACGACACAGTGTGGAAGCATCTATTACAGTCGTGCCAATATTTTTAGCCGTTAATCAAAAATCAATATCAAAATTGATTATTCAGTTCGGGCTTTTACAGAACACAAAGTCGAAAACTACGCCATCGGTTCAAAAAACTACTGCGGCAGACCTTGTACTGAGAAGAACCGGCAAGTAACTCAGCAAGGGCTGCGTTTTTCTCCCTATTTCATTTCACACAGAAGAGTTAATTGAAAAGCGACTTCATTAGAATATGAAGTCACATTCCATTACAATATTAGAAATAAGAGAGATATTTTCGATAAGTGATTAATATGTCGATTGCCGATTCATATATACTCATCAACAAATCAACATAAAATATTTATTATGAAAGAAAATGGGCGAAGTTATGTAAGTAGTCCAGAGCAGACCCATCCCCATTGGCAGCACCCGTTCACAAGTATGACACATGAGTCAGTCATCGCTTCGTTCAACCATATTTTAGGGAACGTAACGACCCGACACACACGACACCACCACAGAGTGTAGTACTTAACGTATGCAATTAATTATGGAAGCTAATTCTAATATATCTATCAGTAGCTGCATGACACGGCACATAATACATAGGTACAATGTAAATAACATAAAATTAAAATATCTAACACCATGTCTTTTTGTCATTTAAATATTATTTGACGACTTTTAAAATGATTTATTGGCAAGTCTAATACATCACTGGGGATCATGTTAAAGTATTGTATACCTTGACTCACGAAAGAACCTAATACCTTCTGTAACCTGTAAGAAGGCATTACAGTTTGTTTTTATTTCTAGTGTTAAGTTTGTGTACATCACTATGCTTGGTATGCACATTAATATTGTTCCGGACAAAAAGTACATAACTATATATAAATTGAGATGCAACCATCAATATTCCAATTTCTTTAAATGTCTCTCTAAGAGATTTTCGCGAGCCCAACTGATAGATAGCTCTGATAACTGATATTATTGCTCTTTTTTGTAAAACAAATATAGACTGAATATTGGCTGCCGTTCCCCACAATATAATGCCATAGGACATGATACTGTGAAAATAACTAAGGTATACTGTACGGGCAGTTTCTACATCGGTAAAGCAAATATAACTTGTTCACTGCTCTTGTTATTTCGAATATTTTGCAATCACGCGGATAAATATAAAAATAATTAAAAATATGGAACAAATAGTAATAGGTAAATTGTGGTACATCTGTTTAAAATCATTGTCGTTCACTCTGTGGCGATGTAATCTGTAACATTTGGAATATAAAAAATAATGCATTTGTAAGTCGTCATTCAAGATCAGGACAATCTGAAAGTCAAAACTCATACCTGTGAACACATTTATTCATTTTACCGACCCTTCCTATAAATAGATTCAGACAGTCAACTTACCAATTATATAAATATCACCTACATGTATACTAATAAATAAATACCCAAAATACGGTAATAAATAATAGGTTTCAGAATCATGTGTTGTACTCTACAATTCGATTTCGCAAAAATGATATAATCCAATAAGTACAATACTACTACTTCATACAAGCTCTTCCTTCCATAGTTTTTTAAAACGCAATTACTTCTCTCAAAAAAACATTTCTTTTTGTTTTTATGAAACCAGTATTTTGGTGATGTTTTTCTACATATTGTTAACAGTATTGCCAACTTAGCACTTTCTGTGCTAGATCTGGCACTATTTTCATAATGTTAGCACCGAAATTTGACTTTTAGCACCAAGCACCTAATATAGCACTATTAAGTATTTTTGATTTATTTTTCTGCTCTTAGTTAGATTTTATGGGTAAGGTCAAGGAAAATGTAATGGAGACTGTTTTTTTTTTGGTACTTTATTCCAAAAAAATCTAACCAGTATTAAGAAAATTATCATAGCACCCAGACCCAATCCTCTATCTTTCATCAAAGCTTGAAAGTACCAATGTTTTAGAGAACTAAGTTAATGAAATTAGTATGGTGTCTAGAAATACTAATATGCACAGCCATTAAACTTATTTTAAAAAAGAAAACGCCTTAAATTAAAATAAAGACAAAGGGATCTTTATCTACTGCCTAGCCTTTGGTAGGGTATATTGGGGTTATTATGAAAGCGGGGAAATTCCGATAATGACATTAAACAAAAAACAATATGTTTGTGGTAATTCTTTTAATTACTTTTTTTTTTATCTAGTAAAAGCCTGTTTAATAGTCAACTTCACCGACACAAAATGCCTGATTTGTTGTTAATTCGTCACTTTCGGGATTTGCCTGTTTTGGGTATTACCCCAAAGAACCTTATTATTACTTAGCGTCCCTATTGGGAAAATAATAAAATAATTCTGTGAAGATTTAATTAATATTTTTGTTTATTATGTATTTATTATAATAAGTTACGCAACGAATAGACTCAAATCGGCCCTTATATACGTCGACGAGCTTCCATTCATTTAAAATATCTCTGAATTTGACATTTAGATGTCTAAAATATCAATTATTAATAGAAAATAAAAATAATGATTTCACATTGTCCAAATAGATTAGTTCACAGCATGAATTGGAACGTAACTCAAGGATGGGGTAGCCATAGATTTTCTTAATCCACTTATGCGCACTTATGTGTTGCTACATAAATTATAAATATTCATCAAATGATTTTCAAATCGGAAAATAAACATTTTGGCGGCGCTTACAAATAAAATAAAATAATCATGTGTAAGGTTTATTTACCCTCTATCGATTAATATATACTTTATTCTAGGTTAGAGATAATTAGAATAAAGTACCAACCTCCATATAAAAAAAGTACTCCTTAGATGATTAGAAGGAGAAACAACGTCTCTACGTTAAAAAATAAAATAGAAATCTGGATTTTTCAATCTGACATTGTCCCGCGCACGATCCTACATGAACAACAACGATTGCTTAGTTCCTTCGCCTGTCCCATGGACGAATTATAATACTACTACTACTACTGAACAACAACGGAACACAAATTACGTATCTACGTAATTTGTGTTTTTTCTTTATTTTTTTGTTTATGTAAAAATATGTTTAGCGCTATTTTTTGGATATTCCTAGCAATCTAGCATTAAGATGTCTTCTAACATTTACCTTACGTATCGAGTTGGCAACACTAATTGTTAATCTGTGATGTTTTTATTAGCGAGGGTGCTGAGTGAAATCAAGTGAAATTGATGTTTTGAGTTTTGCATTTTGCCGAACCAGCATTAGTATAAACTACGATAAGTTGAGGTTATTTATAAATAACTAATAGTATTTGTGTTTCAATATTCTTCACGATGCTGATTAAAGTCAAGGTAAGAAATCTGATGAAATGATAAATAAGTCATAAATGTTTTGTCATTATAACCTCATACTTATATTTATAGACTCTTACTGGAAAGGAAATAGAAATCGATATAGAACCAACTGATAAAGTAGAAAGGATTAAAGAGCGAGTGGAAGAAAAAGAAGGAATACCTCCACAACAACAAAGGCTTATATTTTCAGGAAAACAAATGTAAGTTTTTTAGAACATTTATTTTACATTTACCATTTCCACCTGCTATAACATCTGGTTAAATCAATTGTAACTTTAAAAAGTTGTATTTTATTTTCAACTTCGAGACTCTATTGTACCTGAATAAGGTAATTTACTTTAATCAATCATTTTAAGAACATAAAGAAACATCCTTAATAATATAAAAAAAGAATAGTATTGCACACCAAAAAGAATGCAAATTTAAAAAACAGTCTATCAAATCCGTGTGTGCAGATAAATTCCACTACACAAATTCCTTTGCAGAATGTTCAGTTTGTATTCTATAATTATTTTGTTTATGAATCATTTCAACTTAACATAATATTGTTTATTTGTAGTCTAATGAAATTCATTCAAGCCCCTAATTATTAAAAAATGTTTAAATTTATAATTGTTTTAATGAAAAAAAACATTGATAGTTCACTGAAAAAGTTGATATTTGAGATTTTGAAGACCCCATGTTACAATGGTAAATTCAAACATGTTAGCCCTTATTGAAACAGTTTTTAAGTGCTTTGTTCACTTTCAGGAATGATGAGAAGACTGCACAAGATTACAAAGTACAAGGCGGTTCTGTACTCCACTTGGTGTTAGCGTTGCGAGGAGGAGAATGATCTGTCATGTGATAATATGCTTTTCAATATTTATAACTTATTATTAAATTTTTTCTTATTGTATAAAGTTGGCATGATGCTAATACTGTAGCAGTGTGTTTTTGTTATTTTGCAATATCACTGGAAAGTAAGTTTTCTTTCAAAACATGGTATTATGTGGGACTGAAACTAGCAGGTGAATTACAATAACTTAAATAGGAATGGTGACAATTTTTTTTGTCTGTCCTCCAGATAGATTATTGATGAATATTAAACAAATAACTTTTTATCTTTTGTGTAATCAATAAATTATACATATATTGTGTTGAAACATCTCATGACGTCACACCTTTGTCCATTTTCTACATGGTTGTGACATAGCGAAGCCCCAATCTTTGACTTTAATGCCTGTTAATCTAAATCTATTCTTGTTAAATTTAAGCATAAAATAGGTATTTAATTTTTTTCTATTATCTGACTAATGGACTAAATAGAATTTCAGTTTTTACCCAGGCATGCCTATTGTAAACAAAAGGGCCAATTAAACACTGCTCTTGCATTGCAGGGTTCTGCTGTATCTGAGGAGACTCACTGTATACCTGAGCCTCCTGAGTGGTGACATCCAATGTCACAATGCACTTGCACTATATTCATATAGACAACCTGTTGGTCATAGTAACAAAAATGTGCAAGATCTTTCTAAAATTTTGATATTTCATTATGTATTCTCTATGGTTGAAGTATTAAAGGTCAACATCGGTCGGTACCCAGTACAAAGTTCAGATATTGGAACACCTGGTGGTGGCTGAGCTATGGACGAAAAATCGTAACAAACCAAGGCCTTTAAGGTACTTAAAAAATAGCAAAAAGCTAAAATATAAAAAGCTTATATAAACATATTCAGAAATCGTTTGAAGTTTGTTTTGCGCTGCCGCCACCAGATTTTCAGCTGGTAATCTCTTCAGTGATGTGTATACCCGTAGTACTTCAGCCGTACTTCAACACACTGAAATGTTCAGCTTTAGAAAGCTCTTGTATGGTTTTGTCACGAGCTCTCAGTCTATTATAAAAGCATCCAAAATGTATTCTGTTCTATGTCTCGAATAGGTCTAGTGTTCAGGTATTTGGCGAAACTATTGGGCAGATGAGGAATATATGAATACATATTAAAAAAAAATCTAAATATTGAGCACGTAATTTATTACATCCATAATAACATTGTACATATAATCCACTTATAAATACATTATCTTGCACTGAATGAATTTACAAAAAAATATAAACATCTTTGGTTCACCAAAACGAAATAACAACATCAATGTCTTTTCTTAATGTCCATAATAGTACATTCACTTTAGTTATATTTTCTAAGTATATATTTTATTTTATAAATTTAAAATACCACAAGCCTTTTATTTCACGTTTTAAGATATCTATAACTAAATTTGAGCATTAGACTACTCACACATGGAAATACACATCGCAGTAGTAATTTGACTACAATTAATTTCATAAAAAGCATGCAATACCTAAGAATATTGAACTTAGGATCACATTTTACAAAAGGGAAAGGATGAAACATACTTGGAGAAGTTTTAGAAGTAGCTTATAATTGTTTGATGGAGATTTTAAAATCCTATTAAAATTACATACAATATCAAAAATTATTTAAATGACTTTGGGACGGAAACATTTCAATCGTGTAATTACAAGCTTCCATCTCCGGGAAATAAGGGAGCATTATCAGATGAGCATTATCTAAAATTATTCTTATGAGTTCACAGTGACTATATGCTACTACATATCACGTAACTATACAGATATAAATTTAACATTTATCAGCAGTTTTATAAACAAATATTTATACATATTATATAACGGGAGACCAATAACCACTGCTACGACATGTTAAACAGACGTATATCGGTAAAAGACCGAAGTTTAAACACGCAAGTTGTAAGTCTCATAAATGATACTCGTTGAGCATTTCATGATCTTTTGTTTGGCACATAAATTGCGTTAAGTTCAAGACTATATTCACTCTGTATTAGAAGAAAACTCCAGTACAGAGACTAGGCAATAATCTTTTCGATTCAATGGAATATAGGAAACATTCAATAGAGTTATATAAACATTTATATTTCTTCATTAGTTTCATGAAGTTAGTGAAAAAGTTTTTACTCGATTATACTTTTTATATTTAACATAAAGCACATACATTTAATACGTTTTAATACGTGATGTGCCGAATTCACGTTGCGTTAAAATCAATAAATTGCAACGCCCCATTTGACAAAGAATAACTAGGTAGTTAAAATGTTATTTGTGAAAAAAAATATAACAAAATTCGATTAATCACTGACTCATTCAACCACTCTTTTGTGCATTAATTTAAGACTAATTACACAGAGTAGAGCGTTATTTATATCAAAATTTGCACTAGATAATTACATCTAAAATAAAACTATAGAGATCCATTCTGCATTACACAGTTGAACGGTGTGAACTGGAAAGACATAAAAAAACTATTAGCTATTTAACACAATTTTACGATAAGATAGGTACATTAAAATATTATAATTAGGCAAAGAAGTATACAATAAAAATATCACAGTATCGTCTTTCAAACATGCTTGGCTCTTGAACGAAGGGCAACATAAATTGCATCTAGTCTACCACATACCGAAAATTACCACTGATATCTGTGAGGTTCTGATCTCACAGATATCAGTGGTAATAAACCAAATATATTAAAGTTGCCAACCGTCCTGTTTTCCCAGGGTAGGTCCACATGGTTGTAGTCCTGGGGTCATGGAGAGTTTTCAATCAACTTCTTGGCTCTTTTGAGCCTACGCGGCTTATAAGATCAGGTTTTTTTTTTAATTTCGATTCTGCGATTTTTATGTTACGGGCGACTCGTGAGACGCCAGCATTACGCGGTGAAAAAAAAAAATTTATGCATTTCATCATAATAAAGTATATTGTTAACACAGTCCACGTTAATCAATTAATTTTATTTAACAATTTGAATATTATTTATATTCGAAGTTACCGAGTCCTGTTTTAAAACTTATTGTCTGATTTTCTAACTTTAAATCGTAGATGTTAAAATTTGGGATGGCGACTCTAATATAAAGACCTATACATATTATATAATTTTACCAATGAAAAGATACATATGATATATTTCTAAAAATACAATAAATCTCAACTAACCAACTTATTAAGTGTTATGAAATATACCGGCCTAAACAATATCATTGGACCTATACCTATTACGTGCTACTCGTATTGCTCCATATTCTGTCAATTGTAATCTTTATATGAGTAAATTGATACAAACTACGCCGTTACGAAACGATACGGGTACGGGCTATTTCGTTCTTATTTGGGCCAATGTCATCGGCTATTGCACGGCCGCCGTGCACGCAGTGAATGGAATGTATGCCAGATCAAGAATATGCATTAATTGAATTATTATTAATATTATCATACTCAAACAATTCGACGACGTCTCATTATAAATAGGCATTATAAATATCTGTTATCTGTAGTAAATCAGAATTTATTTACTATGGTGTCAGCGTGTCTATATAAGTAGAAAACTTATAAACAAATGTAGATAATACGAGGGTCAAACTGAAAGTTCTTAGAAAATCAAAAACTGATTACATTAGCCAGTTATTAGTTTTATTATATCTTTTCAAAATATTGTCCATTCACGTCAATACACCGCTGCATGCGATGGAACCACTGGGAAAAGCACTTTGCCCACTCGTCCTTAGGGGTCTCTTCAATGGCATCGCGATACGCAGCCACCGCTTCTTCAGCATTCATAAACCGCTTTCCTTTAAGTTTTTCTTTAATTTTTGGAAATAAATAAAAATCACAAGGCGCGAGGTCGGGGCTATACGGCGGGTGACCCAGTAATTCAACGTTTGATGTCGCCAAATAGTCGATCGTTCGCTTGGCGGTGTGCGACGAGGCGTTGTCGTGGTGAAGGAGGATCCTACTGCGAGGTCGTTTCTCTCGAACTTTTTCCAAGACAAGTGGCAAACAATTGGTAGTGTACCATTCTGCAGAAACTGTTTTTTGATCCTCTAACACAATTGTTGCAAAATAACCTATCCTTCCAAAGAACGAGGCCACCATTTTTTTTCCCGCACTTCGATCTCTCTTCACTTTAGTTGGCAACTCCTCGAAAGGAAACACCCACTGAGCAGATTGTCTTTTGGTTTTAGGATCATAACAGTAAATCCAGCTTTCGTCACCTGTTAGTATGTCGAACACAGCATTTGAGTCACCTCCGTTAAATCTTTCAATCATTTTACGACACCAATCCACACGATGGAGTTTTTGAGCCTCAGTCAAATTATGAGGTATCCACCGGGCGCAAAGCTTCCTGACCGCTAAATGTTCGTGGAGGATTTTGTGCACTTGACTCATACCGATGCCTAAGCTTGTCCGAATCTGTTGATAGGTCACTCTTTTGTCAGTCTCTATCATACGCCGCACAACACAGATGTTATCTTCAGTCGTCGCCGTAGAAGGCCGTCCCTCACGTAAATCATCAGTGAGATTAGTGCGACCACGTTTAAACTCATTAAACCAGTTGTAAACAGTCGCACGAGATGGGGCTTCATCGTGAAAGGCCAATCGTAGTCTATCATAACTTTCTTGTTGACTTAAATGACATCGAAAGTCATAAAAAATCATTGCACGAAAATTTTCTCGTGTTAAATTCATGATGACGTGACACAGACAATTTTCAATTTGCCGCCAAATCGTAAAACAAATGACAAATGAATGAAATATATACTCAGTAATATTGGCAAAGAGTTATATTTTCAAATTTTAGAATTATTTTTTTATTATATTGTTTATAAGTGGCCAGTTCTAAGAACTTTCAGTTTGACCCTCGTAATTATGATAATAACGTTTGCAATTGAAGATATGACTAGGATCAAGGACTGCTGTTATACATAGATCTCTACTAATTTAGGTAACAATCTTCAAAGATTTTTAAATAAATAAATAGTTATTTTTTTTTTATAAAACTACTTTTAAACTGATATAAGCCCGTGTATTCGATTTGTCTGTTTGTTTCACTACATTTTTAGAAGTCTCGGAGCCTTTGCAGCATAGGTATAGTGGTATAAGACTTGAATATGAAGTACATACATTCGTTTTAAGCCGTTTAAATCGTTAATTTTATTAAAATGTGCGCAAAGTACATCGTAAAGATAAAAATTACCTTGACAGTTCAACCGTCCGAGAGCGCTGGCGTCACCCAGCCATATTTGTCGTGTGTTTTAACAAGCGATCTGAAAGCTTCTTCCGCCCGCCGACGAGAGAATTCACGCGACGGCCGCGGTGGAGCGCGCGCCACCCGCCCCTGACCTTTCACCACAGACGCTGCGAACTGCATCACCACCGCCTCCACCGTGTACGCCGATGCCCAGCCGCGTGGCGTCAATAGCTCCATGCAAATCGCTCCCCCTGAAAGTAGTAGATTGTTATACACGATATCATGATGTGGATGTCGCATCTAACCGTTTGATATAATCTTAAGAGGCCGTGACAAAAATGTTTTTTAAAACTTGACATTGAATGAGTTAAGTATACTGACCAACTTTCACTATGGGAGCAACACTGAATTCATGAAGAAATAATGAGCTGTATATAATAGTATGAATCTTACTGTTGTTGGCGATTATAAGTATTACAATTTAGTATAAAACAGCTTATTATTTTTTGCTCCCATAAGACATCTCATAGTAAGACATCTCACGAAGTCCTGGCATATAATAATATTACACCTTATACACCTATAAGTGACGTATTATAACCTTCGTACTTTAACTTACTGAAATATTAAGCTTTAGAAACTTCTTGCTCATTTTTGTCACGAGCTCATCGTCTAATAGCATAGGAACACCCACAGAACACAGAAAGACGTTAGAAGGGCCTTGTGGGCGTGGCACTGGAGCCACGATCCTAGACAAATGTACAGGATCGTGACTTCACCACGCGATCGCGATGTTTAGTCATTCACGAACCCGCGCGCTGTAAGTACTGTGAAACACGCCACTAAAAGTGTTAAAAATGCCGACTTTCGCAGTTATTAAATGAAAAATAAGAAGCCCAACCTCAAGTTGGTCCAAAGGAAGGATTTCTTTCCATTATTAAGTAGAACACTTCTCAAATTTAGTATTTTTAGTCGAAAATCGTGAAATGTTATCAAAAGTGTGAATCACAAAAAATATTTCCAAGAAAATATACATTGCTGGAGAAGTGCGCATATTTATTACATTGCGTCGTACTAAGCACGTAATTTAATGAATATCGCGAAATTACCGTTTTTAATAACAACATAATAGATTACGGTAGATGGGTAGTGAAGTGCCTGAAAACATGTAATCGATTCTTGGTATGTTAGGTAGTAAAAACTAAATAAAAGTATGGACAATAAAAATAGTGGTAATAAAAAATAAATTTTATCAGAGATTAACCATATTGACTTCGTTTGGAATGCGTTTTTATATTAATTTAATAATGAGTGTAGTAATAAATCTGCTTTTTATATTCTTAATATTGAAACAGAAAACTAGTTTTTTTATTTTTTATTTTGAACCATTAACAACAATACTTTTTAAATCATCGGAGTCTGTTCAGGATAAGTTCCAATAGCATTTATTGTACTGATAGTATTTTTTTATTTTGTATATATTTATTTACATTATATTGTTTGTCAATATGACTAGTTTCATTTAAGCGATGTTGCCGATCTTATCTGTTTACTTGATACGAAATCGAGTAACGTAATGTAAAAAAACCTACTATTATTATTAATAATTATATGCATATATTTAAGCTCGACTAGTACCGATTCAATGTTAGTTCATCAGTAATTTAAATATTTCTTATTGAATCAACCAACTAATTAAGAATTTATATCTAAAGAAAAAAGATAATGTCTCATTTAATCAATACAATTCAATGTATATCCAATATAATATAAGGAAATCATTAATCTAGTATCCTTTCAATTAATCGACTTGTTGTTTTTCAATATCGATAGTAAATAACTTTATGTCAATCACTAGTGTGATATGTCAAATTGCGCATTATAGATGTCTGTTATGGTTGAGCGTGATTGGTTATAGTTATGGATTGGAGCGTTCTGATTGGCATGTTTAAAATACAAGTGTGTGCATATCTTTTGTATAATTGGTCTAATTATTCGTCTGATGTACGGCGGACTAAAAGTGGGGCAAGACTGGCTACATCGGTTTTCGTACAAAGGATGCATGATCGCCTTTCTAACCTCTTTTCCGTGTTCTGTGGGAACACCCACACGTGGAAAAGGCACGTTTTATATTTCATATGCAGTTACAGACTCTATGTGGGTGTATACTCGTGTGTACACCCACACATGCCATTATAAGGAATAGAAACTCAAATAAACTGGAATCATTGTGCGAGAAATATAAAACTACTTTAGCGGTCGTAACTATTACGTGGTTTCAAGCAGAATATCTTAACGAGGACTTCGTCTACTCATGTGATTGAAACTGCATTACGATTGAGGATTTCGATCATCATCATCATCATCATCATCATCAGCCCTATTATGTCCCCACTGCAGGGGCTCAGGCCTTCCTTATGGATGGTTAAGGAGGATGGGCCATGACCCTCCACGTTGGCCCAAAGCGGATTGGAGGGTATTAACGACTGAAAATGCAGCCGGGACCAACGGCTTAACGTGCCTTCCGAAGCACGGAGTAGCTCGAGATAATAATTTTTTGGTCACCCATCCCGTCACCGACCCTTGCGAAAACTGCTTAACGACAACGATCGCGGGCCGCGGTCATCCAATTCTTTAAATATTGGTACAATTTGCAATATACTCGTAATATTCTGTTATTATGAATCAGTTGAATCAGAGTAGAGATTCACCTTCCATGACGAAACCCTTTTCTATCCGCGGTTCAATTACGCGCATGAAGGGCGGTGCGAAGGGGAAGTTCTCCGGGAAGATGAGGTGCAGCAGGATATTGGGAATATGTAGCTCACGAAGATCACCAGCCAGGTCACTTTCAGGGTCGATCTGATGCAGTCGCACATGCCATTCGAACAGGTTGTCATTTACCAGTTCCACCTATGAGTTAATTAAAAGCTATAATTAGACATTAAAACTTTTTATTCATTAAAAGCTAACAATATTGAGAGGAAAAATGGACAAGATCTGTAAAGTGAGTTGTTAATTTATCATGATATTAATGGAAATGAATTATGTAGTCTTTTCATCGTCTACTACTTCAGTGGTGACAATAAATTATCGCTTCGCTTTACATTTCATTAATTTAATTTTATTTCATTTGATTGGTTTGCACAAAGTAATGTAGTTTTAAACTACTTACTTAAAAATAGTTTATAATCAGGCCTCCAGTTACGCGGTAGAGCTGTTACTCTGTCATTGTTGTGTTTAGGCCTATTTCATTGCAGGGTGCGTTGATTTCATTTGCTTTTCTCTTTTCTAGTTAGAAGCAACTTATATACTTACTGTGAAGACGGGGTCAGGACGGTTTTCTTGTAACCGCTGTATTTCTTTGAGCTCTTTCATGAGCCGGCGTGTGCGTACAGCGGCAGCACGCTCGCGCGCCTCGCTCGCACCGGATGCCTTCTTCTTACCGCCTGCTGCTGCCCCTGGACTTGCAGGCAAGCTCACCGCCGCTTCGGCGGGACTCACACCATCCCTTACAAATAAACAATACCTAAGCTTAGTTACCATTCTCGGTATAAAGCACGGTCGCCTAATAAGGCCCACTGCCTTTCGATTGCTGAAAACTCAACTAGAATACATCTTAATTACCTACAGTGCCGCATGGACTTAACTAATAGTAACAACAGAAGCTAAGCCGGCGCAGCTAAGAATCGTCAGTATATTTAATGTATTCATTTAGCTGACGCTTAGGCTTATATACTAGTGGATCAATCCGATAAAATTAAAAATTTTAAAATTGTTGGATTGCATGCTGTGTTTACGTGTAATTAATTGTCTTTGCTTTATTATTCATAAGAATCACTATTGAACGATCAGTCTTCCGTCTTTATATTGTGCAGTTTTGCAATAGCAAATTTGTAGACGTCTCGGGGTCTCTCATTGGGATCAACAAATCAGTTAAACTATACACGTGAACTCGACATACGGTTATCGCACTTGTCTGAATGAAATGTAACATTGCAATATCTACACTCGACGCAATGGTTTTAGGGCAACGCTCTTAAATTAGACCACTAATGACATCTATTATATACAAAAGTACGATATTTTTATACGATAACATCTAGTGCCATCTGTTGACAGCCAAATGTAAGGACGGAAGAATTGGGAATCACAAATGAAACTTACGAATGCTGGAATAATACTAGGTTTATTCGGATCAGACATGGTTTATAGAATATGACGTGTACATTAGAAAATATTTTACACTCACGCAAAGCTAAGCAGTCTGTGACCTTAAGAATATCGCCTATCCCCAGAATTAGTTCATATTTTACCTACCTTTATTGTTCTTTCTTGCTTATATTAGTACTGAACCGCCAATTAAGAAGCCGAAACGTGGGATGGGAGCATAACAATTTACTAAAAGTCACAACGTTTCTTAGAGAATATTGGTAGTTAAGCGCACATGGCGCCCCATATAATATTTCTAATAAAACGTCTTATTGCTAATAACCAGTGGCGGACTAAGGGTGCAGTCCGCTCCGGGCCTCTGGTTCTGAGGGCCTCCAAATGTCTGCAAAGTTTCCTGATCATATTATAAATTTTGGTTGGAGGCTCTGTAGACAAGTAAGTAATACCTGTAGCTGGGGGAGGCCCCAGGCCCCCGATGGGGTTAGTCCGCCACTGCTAATAACGGAAAGTAATCAAATCATCGTCATAAAATGTTTTGTGTAAAGAATTTATAAATAATAATTAATGTACCGATATCCAAAGAAATGATCAGTTTTTGGGTTACCCACCCATTACTCACAGCCGAAGGCTTACTAATAGGGATTAGTAAAACTTGCCGTTTTTTAATAAAATAAGGACTTTATTCTTTTTGATTAAGTTAGTAGGTATAATTAATTCTCACCGATTTTACCATCTTTTCAAAAAAATTTTAAACATCGTAAACGTAATAAATAAGATGAATGTCTGAATAACTTAAAATACGTTCATATATAAATACTAGTTAATTTCGCAAAATTGTAATAAAGCACCCGTGATGTTGCTTAGGTCAAAGAGTTTTCATGATCGGAACAATATTTCTGAAGATTATCCCTTATAAACAAAAAAGAAAAAAACAAACAAGTTAGAATAAATAATGAGAATAATCAAAGTTTTTGGTGGCTGGCTGTAACTTAGAGGTCTTTATAGGCACCGACACGTTTTATAGTCAACAGTAGAAGTAGGTAGATGATATGATATGATATGATATTAATTAGACTCCGAAAAGTATACTTTATTTTGGAAGAAGTGGCCTGTGACTTTGATGACTTCCATGGCAGAGTGGATCGTACGTCGATTTCAAGGTATCGCCATCTATGAGTGATTCCCGGTCGGATTAATGTAGAAAATGATTTTTTTCTGGTCTGAACCTTCTTTGTTCCAGAATTCTACACTACACGTGCTATAATTACTTCATTCAGGATCTAAGAAATGTTTGTGTTATTGTCTAATATTCTACAGGCCCCAATCCGTTTTTTATATCAAAAATCTTTTTTACTTTGAGAGAATAATAGACGATATGAAACGACTGTGCCATGCATTTCAATCATATTTTAGGTGAGGAAAATAAGTTTTTGTCAAACATCCAAAGAACGGCCATTTAGGAAGTTGCTTAACGTTCGCAATCGCAGACAGAACGCACTAACTGCGTTATCGAGGTCCTTTATTTACTATAGCGTTTTATTATACTCGTACAAGTACAGAAATTGCAGATATGCTAACCGCGCACCGGATCCTATATAACGTGGAATGTCGCCCTGGCAACAATTTAGTTGTGGCATGCATAGCTATGTGTAACGTTGTGTGTATGTATGACATGAACAATATAGACTTTTCATATTTTTTCTTAAAATAAAATTTATATTTAATTACATTTTTAAAATGGTTAGGGTATTTAGTATAGAGTACCAGTTCTTACTGATACCCATTTTTTACTTTAGTATTATGTCTAAAACTTGACGTTTCCGAAAATTCATGAATTTTAGAGAAGATATTTTGAATGAGACAAAAAAAAGGAGCGGTGGCTTTGCTGATCTCATTTTTGATGAAACGTTTGTAAACCTTTTTTAATCAAACTCAAAATTAAATGTCCCGTTAATAATTCAGCGAAAATCACAATTGTTAATTTTACGCGACACAACCTCTAAATTTTGTAACCAACCATTCTGAGGTATATTAAGAACTGGGTCAGCTGTTGTTCTGTGTAATTGGAGTGTTTAGTTAGAGGTTAGAGAGGTAGCACAGTTAATTAATATGCACACGTGAACGTGAGGGCTAAGCTTATTGTGAATAAGTAATTGTTTATCACATTTTATAGTTCCTTATATCCTTTTCTGGTTATTTATTTTCAAATAGTTGTTTAGATTAATCTTAACAACTTGAAGGTGCTCGAGTGTGCAGCATAGCTAAAAGAGGTGGACGAAGCGAATTGTCTTTACACTTGGAAATGAGTAACAGGTGGAATTAGAATTCTGACGATACCGCGCGTAGGTATAGTGTATTTATTTATCCTCTTTCGGCGCCTTCCATTCTTATTGATTTGCGTAAGCGTAACACTGATAGTTTCTGTAATGAAATATCAGAATATATTAGGTGCCCATTACGCAAAATAATTTACCTTATAAGTAAATTATTAGCCTATACTTTCTCATTTTTAGGTAAGGTATCGCGTGAGAGCAAATTCGATTTCTGTAAAATGTAAATTAAATTCTTGCAGTCCAAATGGTGGTTGTACCTATTGTGTTTCGAGAAAGATTCTAGCTATATATCATCATAATTACAAATTCTGTATCGGCTCAGTTTTACAAAATACAAACAAACAAATGTCTCCATCAAAAGATGCAATTGGCTTGTGTTATACGAGATTTTTTTTTTTATCTTTATGCAATTCCATTTCATTGACATTATTAGCATAAAAGAGTATAGTCTGGTGAGGCAAGTTAAATATTAGAGCTAGTTGGATTCAACAATTACTTTATTACAAGTATAACCAGTGATTATCAATGTGGTTATAGTTTACATTGCCTTTAGTAGTAAGCGAAGAAAAATGGATAATACATGGATAAAGCATCCTTTCAAGTTCAATGTTGAGGTAAATAAAATAGTTAATCAAGATCCTAATTTGGACGATAATGACATGATTAACCACTCAAGCATTAAGTAAACCTAGAGTTTTCCGCGTTCGCAAAGCTAACCTACGTGTAATTAATGAGCATGTAATTACTTGCCTCCTACGAAAACGATTCCTCTTGGGGATTTTATAGAACAAAGATTTGATGGGAGTATTTGTTTATTGCTTCTTTGTAAAGTTTTCTATTTTCCTTTTCTTTTTTCTGTTTATTAGGTTGGTTGTAAATAAACACTATTGAAATAACAATAAAATGTGTGCCCTGAAATCTTTTGTTTATCACTTAGCAAAACAACTGGTTTAATTTCCTATTTTTTAAATGCTCATAAAAGATATAAAAAGGTTTCTAAGATATTGAGGAATGAAAATTGAGATCAGTTTAACAGGAAATGAAAAATTCGGGCAACACTGGAAGAGCTTTTTTCTTTGACATTTTATTGTTCATTAAATCAGAGCAACGAACTCGGATAAATAAAATACCCACGTACTCGTTCAAAGGAATTAAAAACTACGTGAATATCGACGAACCAGATCTGAAACGAACACAGAAAAGTTGGTTTGTTTAATCCGGTTTTGGATTCTCAGAGATTTTCCAAACAATCACAATATAGGCGTGAAAGCAACTCGACCTCTGCAGTCGTCAGACAATACAGTATATTACAAAAAGGTTCTTGGAAAGAAGCCGCCTTGTAACAGGTTCGCATTTGTAGTAGAGCCACTTAACATTACCATATGAATGAAGGCGTGCCGAGTGTCGAGTGCGGTCAGACTGAAATAGAAACATACGCAAGTGAAAGTACTGGGACAACCTGCTAAACCGGTCTCGGTGATAAATGATACGTCAATGTTGCACCTAGGCTGGTTTGGTTATCATCAGTAGGGTGACCAACTTTTTTGGTAATAATAGTAGGTGTATAGATAAGGGTGTGTCTTAGAAAATACTACCAATCAAAAGCTTGTTACATCTGGCAAAAAGAAACCTTCAGGCTCCTGAAATATATTTTTTTTCACTGCGTATTACATATTTTAGCAGCAGTAGTACTTAGGCAAGAAATATATCACAACTAGCTTTCCGCCAGCGGCTTAGCTCGCGTAATTGTAGGGAACTGTTTAGTGGGATAAATAGTAGTCTATGTTAATCCAGGGTTAGAATGATCTGTATATCAAGATTCATCAAAATCCGTCCAGTTTTTTTCATGAAAGAGTAACAAACATACATGAATGTATGTATGTTTGTTACTCTTCTGGATCCTCACAAACTTTTGCTTTATAATATATGTAGAAAATAGGATAGTAACACGATATTGTACGATTGGTAACTTTAACAACAAGAGAACATAAAAATATAGTTCTACAACCCAAACCTGAGGCTACTTTTGAAAGCTAGTTTTTCTAACGTGCCTAATATTCAGCGTGAAACTGAAGTGGTAGTGATTGCTGGCCGTCGAAATACGGCCTTTATAACATATTACATGTCGAAATATTAGATGAATCATAATGAAGATGTTTTATTTGTTAAGTTCTGAAATGTATGCGTCAATGTCTATTACCATAATTGTTAATGAGCTTACAATATAATAGCTATCAATTATGGATGATTTATCACACTCGTTTAGCAATCACTAACTTAGCTACTTGTTTGTATTAATGAACTTTGAAATAGTATTTTATGAAATTAGTTAGTTACATATTATTAACTATTAATTACATTTTGTTTTTAAAAATAAATCATTCTTTAATAAATTATCAAGTTGGTAATTATCAAAATCTATTATAACTAGGATGTCGTTAAATATAATTTACAGTTATTAATTTGTTGAATCGAACCGAAAGAACTCTAATTTTATTCCAGCCATTGAAAGTACGCTTAATTAGAAAGCGAATAGATAAATGACATTTTCCCGGACTCGGACGTAAGCATGAAAAGTTTTGTCTATCTGCCTTTAAAAATAGTGTCAGTATTATAGCACTACGGGTAATTTTTCTGCTTTACACGTGAAAATAATTTAATATTAAATTTCACGACAAATTAACTTACAAAATCTCCTACGTGACTTTTTTAGGTTCTTATGATGTCATTTATTTTAATTTTAAAAGACTAGCGTGACTCTTAGTTTTAGGGTAATCTTTTCGTCAACTTCATTTCTCTGTTATAAAATGAATAGTTAATTTAATAACTATTCATTCTACTATTCAGTCGAGTTTTATAATATCGGGTTTTTGTAGTCACACTAAATGCTATGTAATCAACAAGATATTTTATAAAAACGGATTATAAATCTGTATATTTATTTATAAATAGAAAAGCGATTAGAAAATAGAAGGTCAACTCAATAAAAGATATAATAATCTATACAATGACTCCGGGGAAATGTGCTGACGTGATGTAATAAACCTTTATTACCTTATAAGTACGTGATGAAATTCCGAGAATGCGCGGTACTCAAAGTGGGACACAACGTTTGCGTCGTTTGAACATCGACAGAGGTTTAATATCGAATTGCGACTCGCTTCGTAATATGATAAACATTAGTTTTGCCGTTGTATATAGCGTTGATATATTGTGTCTGCCTGTGAGTAAACAAAGTCTTTGTTTCATCAGAGCGGGTGGCGGCCACATGACGCGGTTTCAGTTGGCGCTTCCTTGAATTGACCACGCGATGTTCCTATTGTTCGCTCTTTATCGGATTTTCATATGAAATTCGAATGAAAGGAGGTTTTCATATGGGTATCGTTACGCCAACGCTTTCTACAAAATATAACATTTCAACGAACTTTCCGTTAAGTAGGTTATTATGGCACGTACCAGTCAAAAAGCTTATGTTATTCCGAAAATAGAACGATCATTTATCTGTATTTCGTATGAGACGAAACATATTTCTATAGAGCCAACCACTATAATGATGGAATTATTGCTTTTTATTGTGATCAAACGATACTTATAATAATGTTTTTTTGTAATAAAAAGACTTTAACTTATATTTCCTAACGAAGCATGTTTTAAAATGTAGATATAATTATGCAAATGAGACTCTCCGTAGAGACAAATATTTATTGTAGCAGTATCCATTCCAGTTTGAGTGACATCGATGATTTTATAATGTTTATTTATATTTAAGCGGGTCAGTTATGTTGAAAATGGTCTAAGTATGTTACTTAATTTAGATTTGACCTCAAATGTCGTCAGTAAAACGCTTAAGCTTTAAATATAATCACACATATAACTGGATACGAAGATATACATTCAATTTAATATTAATTCGAGCCTTCACATTGTTGCTGCGGTGGCTTTAGAATATTGATATTATTGTATTTTAAACAAAACTCAACAAAACATCCTCATTGCAACGATGCATTCAATTTTTAAACAAATATTAATATTTGGTGGGAAAATAAATAGCTGATAAAACCTGTTCCTTGATTTTATATAATAATACATACAAAAGTATGCCACAATATCTGGTTACTGTTTTTGTTACTTACAAAATGAATGCGCGTATTGTTTCCTCTCATTGTTTATGTAACGTTAATAAACACGACTGAGATTAGATTACCACCCAATTAAATCGTTAATTTATGTTTATTACTGTATTAAACACTCGAGAAGGACAGACGATGAACATTTATCAAACTTACACCCATATGATTTTGAAACCGAGTTCATATTGAAGCAATACAAAATGTAAATTTTTGTTATATTATATCAATAGTATGTAGAGCATGTTTTTTGCAAATCTTATGTTGTGCATATCGTGACTATAAACTTTTTCAAGAACGAAGTTTTATTCTTAATTGATAATAAGCTAACAGAGCGTCCGATTTTATTCATAATAAAAAAATACGTCTTCTTATGTTTAGTATATACATGTGGTGTAATTACATATTTTTTTCTAGAAAATTATGATACCTAGTGGAAAATCTTTTTGGGCTCAACACATATGATTGCTAAACGTATGAATTGCTGACTACGTGACCGGTTGCGTCGGTTATGTTATCCAAACATTGATCGACTGTTACAACACTCTCAACCGTAAACATTTCTTACGCGAATCCGTCATGTTTTACATTTCATGACATGAATCACTAGAAATAAAACTTCTTAGAACTTACGGAATGCATAATTTTCTAACAAATCAAAAAAAAACAGACGAACTCTCTGGCGCGGAGCTTTCGAAAAGTAGCTGTAATAAGTGTTACCTGTGTCGTCGTAGCAGGCCCCGTCGAGCCGGGGAGCCGCTGGGCCCAGCACCGTCGTTGTCCAGTTTCTCTGGAGACCGGAACAGCTTCCGGAAGGCAGCTGCCACCTTTTCTTTAGATCTCGATGTCATGTTGCACTAATTAAACACTTTCTATAAACACACTTAACTCTGCAACTTTCACAGTCCACACGCGGAAAATTTGAACGATCTATTCACATTTGATTACTGCGACTTGACATTTTTATGTCATGTTATGTGAACTTCAAAGTTCAAAATTCGAATGATTGAGTTGCCAGTTCGGTGTTTTGGATGTCTCGCACGGAGAGCGTCTGTTTACGCAGACGTGCGACTACAGAATGAGAACGAGCGTCGATGAAATCGAAACTTGGCACTCCGGAGGGCGGTTATCGTCCGGCAGGCATGCGGTGGCGATGCGGGCGGGAGTGTGTCACAGTCACGCTGCGGCGGCGCATATCTCGTACGAACGGCTGTTACCGCTACTGACTCGTGTGAACGAACTCACTGCTGATTAACCGTTCTCGGATCCTGTTGTCCCTGTAGTATTTTTGTATGTCCTGAAACAAGAAAGAGAGACATTACATATTTGTTTATAGGTAAATAGTAGTGGGAACTACTAATTTTATTTTTTTCTGGTCATATAATATATAAAATCACCAGTTTCATCATTCTTAATACATATGTAACACAATCAACTGAATCCACCTTATTCTTTTCTGCAAGAGAAAGATCCTTTCGTCCACTATTATTTCACAATGCGTTTTCACTCTTCTCATTTGCATTCAAACGGCTCCGTTTATTTTTTCTGTCACTAACTAGAGCTACATATATCATGTTAAAATTTTGCAAATGTCCATTCTTGCCGCTCTTAATATCCATCTGACATTATTATATCTAAGATTCATCCCAATATACTTATTTACGCATTAGTGAAAATTGTTACATTTTCTTTATAATTATAAGGTTATCGCGGAAAAATACTCAAAGTAAACTAATTTCTTATTTTTCTGATATTGTAGTATCGTATATTTCTGAAATTGACTGATTGATATTACACGAATAAATTTTTTGAATAAATCCTACTAATACGGATTATAAATGCGAAAGTTGAAGTTTATGTTTATTACTCATTCATGCAAAAACTACTGGACGGATTTTGATGAAGTTATAAAAATAATAAATGGTATATGGATAATTCTACAATTGGATTACCTAACATATGGGCTTTCTATCTTACTAAATAGTTTCCTACGAATAGCTCTCTCTTTATTTCTAGTTTATGATATTTACGATAAATAAAACGACATATTAAAAGTATAGAATAAAATCGGAATCGCTGTTAGCATGCTATGGATATACTTTTTTATGACTCTATTTATTCACATTTCTCTGACTCTATTTGTTTTTGTCATTTCACAGCTAATGAATTATGCAATAGTAGCTTATATTAATGTTTTTACAAGACGTTTATTTGGGAACACCAAATACGTGACAGTAAACAACTGTCAAAACCATAGAGTATTTTTATATATTTAAAATCAAAATTACAAAAAGAAACGAAATAAAGAGAATTATTATACAAAATACAGTTTATATAAAAATACATAATAAAATGAAAAAAATATTATATTTAAAATAGATGACGGTCTGTAACTATGATCTATTGATGGTAAGTTCAAGATCAAGAAGAATATTAACCTTTCTTCGTCCTTAGTGTGCCCTTGATAGCCTCGAGGACACCATATAGTGTGTAGGCGGTACGGCCGCGGCCTACACATTGCTGGCAGCTTGCCGACTCTACCCTTAGGGGTATTAGGGACAGCACTAAGCTTTTATTATCATGTTGATTAAGCACGATCATAAACTATAAAAATTGTATTAATTTAATTTTGTCTTACACTACAAAACCTTCCCAAAAATATTATGGTTGTTATTGGGAATCAAATGTCTTGTCATAATCCTATTTTTTTTTCGTTATTTTCTCTTCTATGATTTAGGTTTATATTAATGTCGCGCTTTGCCTTTGTCATTTCATGGATTCAATTTTAACTTTTTATAAAGTACGCAATGATTTAATGCTGTTTGATAGATTTTTGTTTTGAGGATAGTTTATAACTTGAGCAATGCCGAATCGAGTCACTACTTTTTTTTATTGTATAATTAAAAATTATAAATTCATGAAATTAACGGATTCTTAATTTATAAGTTTACATTTAAAGTTGGTAAGCATATTATTTAAGTGCGGTTGGGGTATCAAGAATGTTACATTTTCTAAACAGCCTAGGTAAAAAAAGACTGAATACTTGCCTAAAGGACTGAAACTAGTGCAGATATATTAGAACGCGTCGTGTGATAAAAATAATGCGGTTTTCATAAAATGAAATCTAGGTAACGAACGGCTGCTTCTTTATTAGTGTTGTACTTTTAAACATTGCAAGTAAAATTGTAAGTATCATTATATTTAGAGATTTTAAATTAGTTTAGAGTGTGTGTTGACACATATAACATATCCACCCTGCGATTCTGTAAAAATCCATACCCGAATTCGAATTCACTCAGGTGTCCGAATTTGCTACAAAAAGCGGCATCCGCTCAACATTGAATTGATAATAACGTGTCGTGGCATAAGTGAAGTGAGTTTCGAAATGACATAGGAATAGAATCAATAAATAAATCAATTGAATTTTTATAGATAGTAAAAGGACAGAGTATACAAGAATATTAAGAGTAGGAGGTAAGTAGCGTCTGTTGCGGAACGAATGTCAATAAAACATCCGATTAGGCACCCTCTGAAGTGTTCAACTCTCGTTAAGTCTTTTTTAACTCTTCAGTCGCGCAAAGGTGTGATTATTACCTATATTTTTCTTCAAATATTTCCCATAAACAGTTCAAGAGTACTAAAATAGAAATACAGTAAATGCAATACCTATAGGTAGTTTTTAGCTGCATTTTCGACTTATTGTTAGCGTTAGAACGAACAGCGTGTTACGTCACCCGCGGCGAAATGGCGGAGTATGACAGACAGCGTTTTTCGCGCGGTTTCGGTAATTTAAACTTTAACTTTGATTAATATTGATAAATAAAGTAAATTTTCCCAAAGTATGTGTTGTGTTTGTAAACACTAAATCTATTGCGTAGGTGGATTGAATAATTACAATCAGTAATGTACGTTATTCTTTTTATTAATTAATAAAGCTTTACAAATTACTTTATAATTCTTATGTAATCTAACAAGATAGACAGCCATTCTTAACTATAGACAATCCCTGAATCCTCTTGCCATAGAACGTAACTCCTGACTTGAGTTGTCATGGACATAGTATGTAACACTCCCCCTTGCTGTATTTCCATGGTTCACAGGTTTAAGCGGTTTGGAGGTCTTCGTATTCTTTGACTTCTTGATCTAGGCTCTATATCTGGCTGTGATGGTGCAGCTGGTGCTTCCATTCTCTGTGGTGTACTGGTAAAACTTGTAGCTGGTAACTTTTCCACATTAGGTGATGTACTTAGTCTTATTTCAGGTGATTTCTTTTCACAGGTCATTTCTGGTGCAGATTGTTGAACTTCTTTATGGTAAGTAAATGGTAAGTAATTTTTCCTTTGATAATCATTTGGTTGTAAGCATGATGTCTTTCTTATTTGATCTGTATGTCTGATATGTATTTTTCCATCTACATCTATTTCATAATGTAATTTTCCTCTTCTATTTATGATTATTCCAAATTTCCATTTATTTGTATCATAGAATCTTATTTGTACTCTCTCTCCTTCTTTGAATTCCTTTTCCTCTGTCTTTGTTTCTGTATTTTGTTTTATATATATCTTTGAAGTTAAATCTCTTTTTACTAAATCAATTCTTGTTCTGTATAGTCTCTTGAACATCATTTCAGCTGGGCTTAATCCAGTAGTATTATTAGGTGTTTTCCTGTAAGTCATTAAAAATCTTGATATTTTTTCTTGTAAAGTTCCTTTTTCATAAAGCATACTTTTGAGTTTATTTTTAAAAGTTTGAACATATCTCTCAGCTTGACCATTTGTTGATGGATGGAATGGAGCTGTAAATTTAGACTGTATTTTTTTTTTTCAAAAATGTTGTCATTTCTTCTGAGCGAAATTGTCTTCCATTATCTGACACAACAGTTATAGGTAAGCCAAATGTCGTAAATAAATTCTTTAGTATTTTTATAGTAGCTGTTGTAGTTATAGATATTGTTGGTATTACCTCTAACCATTTTGTATATGCATCTACTACAATTAAGAAATAATTATTTAAAAACGGTCCTGCATAATCTATGTGGATTCTACTCCATGGCTCTTTTGGGTACTCCCAGCTATGTATTTGTACTTTACTAGGATTCTTTTGTAGCATACAACATATTTTGCATTCTCTTACCATTCTTTCAATATCAAGGTCTATGTTTCGCCACCATACATAGCTTCTAGCTAAAGCTTTCATCTTCACTATACCTGTATGGGCAGTGTGTAGTTCTTGTAGTATCTTTTTTTGTAGTGTTTTTGGTATTACTATTCGTATTCCATAGAATATGCAATTATCTTGCAGAGAATATTCGTGTATTTTAATGTTATTATTATTACTTTTTCCTGATTGTATTTCTAAGTATAATTTTTGTAATTCTGTATCTTTCGCTGTAGCTTCTTTAATCTCTCTCATTGTGACTGGTAATATGGACAACTGATTCATGTAAAATATTTTGTTTTCTTTGTTTTCTCTGTAGATTGTACTTTTGTCTCTAATCTTGAAAAATAATCAGCATTAGCATGTTCTGTAGTCTTTCTCAGTTTAATATCATAATTAAATCCAGCCAAGTAGTTTGCATAGTGTACCAATCTAATTGCTGTCGAAGCAGGTAATGTCTTTTCAGGGTGTAAGATTCTTGCTAAAGGTTGATTGTCAATAATAAGTGTAATCTTTCTTCCATAGCAATATTGAAAGAATTTCTTTAGTCCCCATATTAATGCAGCTGCTTCTTTATCTAACTGGCTGTAACCCTTTTCTGCTTTTGTCAATGATTTAGAAGCAAATGCTATAGGTCTTTCGGATTTATCTGGCATAATGTGCGATAGTACTGCGCCAAATCCCTTTGACGAAGCATCTGTAGCTAATGTGATAGGTAAGTTGATTTGAAAGGGTGTAAGTACCTTGTCACTACATATCTCCTTCTTCAAATTTTGAAATGAACTTTCACATTCTTTTGACCATATGTATTTTGTATTTTTCTGTAGAAGCTTATATAATGGATGTAATTTTGATGCTAAATTAGGTATAAATTGTTGATAGTAATTAACTATACCTAAAAATGTCCGTAGTGATGAAACATCAGTTGGGCATTCACTGTTTACAATATCTTTCACCTTATCTTCATTTGGATGTAAACCCTTTTCATTTATTGTATGTCCTAAGTAAGTGACTGATTTCTGGAAAAATTGGCATTTCTTTTTATTTAGGTGTAATCCACATTCACGGAGTTTCTCAAATACTTGTCTCAGTCTTGTAAGTAATTCTGTATATGATTTTCCTTGTATAGCAATATCGTCAAAAAAACATGCTGTACCTGTAAGACCTTGTAGTGTCTGATCCATGTATCTTTGCCAGTTATTTGGTGCTATTTTTACTCCAAACATTAGGCGGTCAACTTTGTAAGTTCCTTTGCATGTAC